GGAAGAGGAAGAAGGAAGAAGAAGAAGAAGAAGAAGAAGAAGAAGAAGAAGAAGAAGAAGAAGAAGAAGAAGAAGAAGAAGAAGAAGAAAACTCCCGCCTCCCACCGATTGCATTAACCAGGTTCTTCAACTGTCAAAGGCACTTAACTAGTTAGGACAGACACCTGGCTGCTGGAACAGGGCTCCAGAGAGGCCACTAATCCTCCTTTCACTCAGTTAACTGCTGGATCCCCCAAACTGATTCAACAGGTATGCAGTGGTAAATTCAGCCTATACTGAAGCCAAGGGGAAAAATCAGCAAGGGGCAGGCAGCTCTTCTCTGAAAACACCCGAGGAACCAGCCAGAAAAGCTTTTACGGCCCCGACAAGTTTTCTGCTGAATACTGAGCACCTAAATTACCCTTCCCTAATGGAAGTTACATTTTCATGCTCAGTCAAAAAGCCAACAAAATACACAATTTATACAAAATAGCAGCAACCTCTGAGGCAGTCTTTCCGAGCACTTTTATCCCAATTCACAGCATATGTCTTGCTATAAAATAAAATATATTTCTCATAACCAACTTGGACGTGGCTGTTCATATCACTGCTTTACAACTGCCCGTGGACAATATTAGATGCATTCTTACACCCAACCAAATCTACAAAAGAAAATCAGGAGTTTTATCAGAAGATTAAAAAGAAAAACTATACAAAAGAATGTACTAATTCTTAATGTCGTTTTTTGTTTTGTTTTGTTTTTACTTTAAATTTTATTGTAGTATGTGTGTGTTGTCACAGTGTGCACATGGAGGTCAGAGGATAGCTTTTGGAAGTCAGTTTTTTTTTTTCTTCTACCATCTGGGTCTTGGGGGTTGGGCTCAGAGAGTATGATTTGGCTGTAAGCACTTTTACCTGCTGACCCACCTCACTGGCCCAGAATCCCCTAATTCTTATAGCTTCCCAAGCAGACAGGCTTCTTTTGGAAACAAACACATGCATAATTATGTAGACAACTGTAGAATGGGTCACGTCTATTGCAGCTATATAATCTAATACTAATGCATAGAGAGATACTCATGAAGTTCATAAAGAAATATAAATGGGTAAACTTTTTAGAGTTGCCTTAGTTTTCCTTCTCAATACCTGCATTCTATTATAAATGTGGAAACTAATTAAAAAACACTTTTCATGCATTCAATAATATAACATCAGTTTCTTATAAATACTGAGAGAGCCCAGTACAGGGATCCTTCCAGGTAAAGATTCCATAAAGGACACATCATGAACCCCTGAACATATAACAGGGGATCTAGGAGTCATGATCACACCATGATAAATATATTCTTTACTGTGGGTATCTCTTAGTAGGAATAGATCAACTTTGACACACTATTCTCAGCTATTTCTAGAAAACACACTGCTAGTTTGCTTAAAAAAAAATTAAAAATATACTTCTCCCAAAGAAATGAGCAGTACACTTGTGTATCTGCCACACACAGATGCAAACTGCATTTCTGCCAGTTCTTGTAGTTTTTTGATTGAAAAGAAAGGAAATATTCTCATGGTCCTGCTGTTCTATACTTAAAGGGGGTGAGGTAGGGTGGGATCATCTTAGGTGCCAGTAGAGAGAGGCTTCCTTTGTCTGAGATTTAGTTGTAGGTTTTACCTAAGAAGTAATTCTCCCCGAGTCTTCGTATGAGTGAGATGACTTGTGTTGCTTTAAAAAAAAAAAACATTCCAAATTCTAATTTTTTTTTAAACAAGAAAATATGAAGCCAGTGTGCAACCCATACAGTCACCGAAGGAAAGCTGCCACCAGCTGAACTACTCAGCTAAATGGTTGGTTTGCATTGCCCTGGTCTTTATCTAGCACTGAGAATAGACTGCTGTTTTATCCAAAGAGGAATAAATTGCTGTTATTGTGATGTTAGCCCATCACTTGGCATTGCAATTCAAGTTTTTGTGGGAAAGAAATGTATGATCTAAGTGCGACTTGACCTATGCCTTCTGAGATCCGTCTAGGTGCTTTAATGGAGCAGAAAAAGTGGCGAATACAGGGACATGCAAACTGATGGTAAGATTTTTGTTTGATGATAGAACTGGGCAAAGGAGACATTTGAGAGTCGCTATTTTTATGACATCTAAGTTTGCTTAACATGCAAAAAGATGAGCCTCCCCAGGCCCCCCCTCCCGCTCCCCCCCACCTATCACTTTAATTGTATCACACTGAATACACACTTTTCTTCTGCTAAGGATATGAGGATACACAGCTAACCCACCTAATGACATTCCTGCCAAAGTGGGCACAGATGATTCCTTGCAGATAAACATCTGAATTTCCACAAAAGGCATTAGAGCCCTTCCATGGAAGCACCAGGCAGGTTGGGCTGGGGGGTCCCTGCAGAAAGGCATCATCCTGGGTCGCGCCTACTCAATGTTTATTATACACTCAAGTCTCCAAAACTAACAATATATACTTATTTTAAATAAGATAATTGTGTGATTGAGTTTTGTTTTTTATTTATTTATTTATTTTTTTTTTTAAAAACTCCCCCTGGTTGCAATCTAGTTTATCTACCACTTATTCAAAATTTCTCTGGAAGAGACCTATTTTGAAAGAGACTCGGAGAACAGCAGCAGTTAAGATTTAAGCCCGGATAAAGGCTCACTTTTCATTCATAGTCAGAGCCTAAATGTGCTCTTCTTGTACCTAAACAGATAATAAGCACTGAACACACTCCCCTCCTTGACACAGCACACTGAGACTAATCACACATAATTGGAGAGGAGGAGCAGAGGGCTGGGCACGCTATTGTGTCCAGAGGACAAACGGTCAGTTTATGAGGCTTTGGGCTGATGTAGTCATTTCTTATACATCTATAGGGAAAAAAACATCCTGTTCAAAAAGAAAAAAATAATGAGAGTGAGAGAGAGAGAGACAGGGCAAGAGATGATTGTTTCACTGAAACAATGAATTGGGACATCCGAAAGATGGGGCTTATTTATTTACTTAACCAGAAAAGAAGGGTGACGTTTTCTGTATTTACAGATTTAGACTACCATTACCAAACAGAACAAAGACAATTTAGAAAAGGGGGAGGAAGGGAAGGTGGGAACCATCAAAAGAAAATCTGCTTTAGAGAGAAAAATATTTAGACTGCTCACAAGTCCAGTTCTGATCTCAGATAGGCTGCTGACACACGGAACACACAAAGGTTTGGTGCAGAAGAGCAACAAGCTGCCTGGAAGACGAAAAGGTGAAGGAGCTGGCAGGGGCCCGCCCAGGAGTGGTGTATGTGTGTGTGTGTGTGTGTGTGTGTGTGTGTGTGTGTGTGTGTGTGTGTGTGTGTGAGGGTGTGAGGGTGGGTGGAGTCCCAGAACCAAGATTTGGAATGTGGAAAAGTAGGTGGGGCCCTGAGTCTCAAGGGACCCATGGCAGATTTCTCTTCTTGTGAAAATAATTTCCCGTACATCTGATTTTTTTCTCTGTCTTCTATCCCGTTTTAGTTAAAATAAGCAGAAGGGGGTAATGGAGATTTTCTTCATATATGTCCGAGTTTTCTTTTTTCAACTGAAAATAAGAGAAATACAAGGTAAGAGGAGTCAAGTGAGGAATTTTTATAAATTGATAATGTTAATTCTAACATGATGATGATTTTAACCTAAATATATAATTCTTGAAAAACCAATCACATAAGAGCAACTCAACGTAGTTGGTGGTGGTACTGGCATGATGATGATATTAGAATAGGAATCTGAGGTTTTGTTTAATTTTGTTTTAGGAAAGGATTGGGTAATGTTTTCATAGGTACCCAAACTACACCATACCTGAGGGAAAGGTGGGGGTACCTTCATCTTTCCTAGAATAGCATTGGGCAGGTGTCTACATCCGCCTGGTTCTCGATACACTAGTCAGTGCTACATCACTCTAGGCGGGCAAGAAAGTTGGATGGACTGGAGACCATGGTAACATCTGGGCACTGGGACAGGTTTGTGGGGCCTCGGACATTTCAAAGGCTGTTGAGGTATTCCTTGGGGGTGGGGTGGGGGTGATAACAGCAATGAGTAATTCAGGATATTACCGTTACTCCCAGGAACATATTCCAACAGAACACCAACCCCTGACGGTGCTGAGATGAATTTCTGAGGAACTTTTGTGATACAATTTTCAATTCCAACCAATCTCCGTACTAAAGCAAACTTCCTGGTAAATGAGTGTGGGGGGTACACTTTATCCCCTCATTTGGCTAGAATAAATCTGACAGTCACATTTATATTTGTTCTAGCAAATAGCAGTTTGTTTCCGCCTCCTCCTTTGTGTGTGTGTGTGGGGGCGGGAGGGGCGGGGCAGGGTTTCTCTGTGTAGCCCTGGCTGTCCTGAAACTTGCTCTGTAGATCAGGCTGGCCTGGAATTCAGAGATCCGCCTGCCTCTGCCTCCTGAGCGCTGGGATCAAACCTAGCTAGTTTGTTACTTCTAAACACAATAGAGTATGAGTTGGTATTTTTGAGCCAATTGTTATTTTTAATTTATAAAGAATCAGAAATCTTTCTTTTCACTATACTGGAAAGCAATTCTTTTATTACCTCAAATCAATCACCACTACCTACCTTAAAACATCCCATGAACGGCTCTCCTATTACATTCTGCTGGGTTGGTCTGTTAGGGATACGTTCACTTGCACCTCCCTTCTAAATCCTACTCCAAAATGGTGACACGTCTTCACTATTAAGGACAAGAGCCACCTTCTCCACTGGGACCTTTCTAAGCTAAGAACAGGTGGTGGGGTGCTCACTGATGTGACTTCCTTTTGCTTTCTTAGATGCCGGCTCACAAATGACGAGTTGTCCACTTAGAATGGAGCTTGAAGAACTGCTTGTCCCCAGTATATCAACAGTGTTCATCGATCTCTGGTCTGATCATCACCACCATCATCACAATTCGTGAAACTGGCTTCACCAACTCCGATGCCCATGCCCTCTTACTGTACATACCTCAGCCACGCATCGCCCTAGCAACAGAACGCACACATGGAAACATTTCACCGAGAGGAGAGGGGGCCATGATAGCTAAATCTTTCCTCAGGGACTGGGGATAAGGGAAAGTTGAGTACTCCGAGCGAGTCAGCTGCCCTCCTCCCTGACAAGGCACTAATATACACAGCCTCAAATGAGCTCTTTATAAAGTCCCTGAGGTAATATATGGGATAAATAATTCTTCTGTAAATATGGTCTAGAAATCACTTTTAACTTGAATTCTGTGCTGACCTCTGGAGGCCAAAGCGGAGGTCTGGCTGCTGGAAGGGGCCAGGGGGCCAGCCTGGTCCTTCCTTTGAGCCTTTCTGAAAATTGGGGGGTGGGGGTGGGACTCCCCATCTCACAAACAGTACAACACCCACCCAGCTATCTCTGAACCAAGTAAATCTGTTACAGGAGAGTCCTTGAACACACACGAAGCTGTTAGGAAATACTGGTTTGGATTGGGGGAAATGTTATAAGGCTGAAGAATAATTTCATTTACCCAGGCTGTACTTCTTTGCTCAATTAATAATTATAATTTTAAGGAGTAAGAAAGCACCTTGAAAAAAAAAAGGATCAAAAAAGCAAATTGTGAATAAAACAATTTTTCAATTTCATAGGTTAAAACAGGGTCTTTGAGGACCGCACTAAATTATAGAGCTGTTATTAGCAGCATTGTGCACTACTTCATAATTGGATGTAACACACTCAGCCTTACTACAGCGGGTACAGCAGGAGTGGAGTTCAGACTGTTTACCCTTTACAGTATCCACAATTATCCACAGCACACCACACAGATTACAAGCACCAGCCACTTGTGAATAGATAAGCGGAAGTGCAATATGGCCGTGCATTTCACACAATGTACCGACTTCACGGCTCAAGCTCCCCCCCCCCCTTTTTCCTCCTGGGCTAAGTACAGTACAAACATGTAGAGGATAAAATCTCCAGTGGTTTTGCCAAAGTCCAAAAACAAAACCCCAAACTCATGGCTCGTGAAATTCTATTTTGAAAGAGTATTCGAGCGGCTTCATCGGCTCCTTTCAAGGCAGCGCTCGCTCGATCTGAACGGAGGCTCTCCCTGGCTAAGCCACTCGCTCACCTAACAATCTTGCGTCTTAGGGGGTTGCACCCCACCATGGGGTAGTAATGTTTGAGTCTCAGCCTGGAGGGGCCAGGACGAGGCCGAGGAGGAGAGAGAAGGGTTTTATTATTTTATTTTATTTATTTTTTTCCTTCCTGTTGCCCGGACAAACAGAAAGGCACGGTTGTGGCCGCCTGGGTCCTGAGCACGCCGGCTGCACCGTGTGGGCACGGCTTAACAAAAGCACGGGCAGAAAGTGCAGAATGGCACCGTTTTGATTACAGGCTTGCTTTTTAACGGAAATAAAATTTCACAGTTAACAATGAGAGGTGAAAAGTTTAAGAGGCAAAAGCTGTTCCTCCTGATCGCTGACTGTTAATCAGCTTCATGGGTGGTTGCCTAAATCTGTAGATTTTTTTTTTTTTAACCTCGCACTACTGCCAAGATTGTAACTAATTTTTTCCCCTGTTGTAAGGGGAGGGGTGAAAAACTCGGCATAGAAGGCAGCTGTGTATGAGTGACGTGAGGTACTAACGCAGAGGGCAAAATTAAAATTCATGAATCTCTTCACAACCATTTGTGTAACAAGATTAAGACGGGACAGCGGAAAAGAGCGGCATTATCAGGCGTCTTACAGTCCTCCAGCTGCTTACCGCTCTATTCCAACACAGTAGGGCTAAGAGGATAACACGCAGCCCGAAGGGAAACGCGGCTCCTCCGATGGGGGAGCAGGCGCGGCCCAGGGACGGTGGGCTTTGGCCAGAGATGCAGGGGGAAGAAAGCTGATTGCCGCTCAGGATGGAAAACTTTTAAGCCCTGGCTATTAGCAGGGCGGCCAACAAAAGCCGCCAGGGGAGGAGGTTTCCGCACCCGAGCCGGCCCTCAGCTTCCTGGAGCTGCGTGGAGGTGGCAGGCACAGGGCATTGCCTTTGGCCTCAAGGCTGGGGTTGAGACTCCTGGGCTCAGTGAGCAGGCACAGGGGCGTCCCCTACTCACTCCACCTGGCCGGCTGGTGTGTGTGTGTGTCTGTGTCTGTGTGGGGTGTGTGAATCTGCTGAAAAAGGGACACAAGGGATGAGCATCCTTATGCTAGAAGCAGGATGTCAAACTAATTGAAACAGTTCTCATTAAACACACACACACACACACACACACACACACACACACACACACACACACACACGGAGTCCTATTTATTTATTTATGCCTTTGACCCAGGACTGCATAGTACGGCGCCTGGGTTCTACTTCCTGCAAACATTCATGCAGGTTCACCCCACAGCCACAAGGAAGACTACTTGTGAGCCCATTGTCAGCAAGGGGAGGGATTTGACTTGTAAGGAAACCTAAGGCCACTTAATTATTTAAAGGGATGGATTTATGTGTGGGCCAGTCAGTCAGTGGTGCCCTACTGAGTACTACTTGGGCACAGTACACAATAGAGATGCTAGAAACATGTTCAGAGGTTTTTTCCTGAATGTGCTGTGCTTGGCAGGATAGGGCGCAGCCCTGGAAACCAGAGGAGGGGCTGCCATCCGCTAGAGTCTGACACTCAGGTTCTAGACAAAGGAGAGGTACCAAGGACTCAGGGGCCTTGCTTGTCCCATCGTACTTCAGATGTTTCAGAGAGGAGACAAGGGGTCTCGGGGGACGGTGCCAAACATCCTTGCTGGTGGAAAGACCCACACCTTCGATCTCCTAAGCTGTCACTGAGAAACTAAAAGCATCTCTGGTTCTTGGGGGCAAGTCGATGTCACGGCATCAGAGCGGCGTCAGCTGATCCTTGTAGTTCCAACCTGACCCTGGAGAGAAGGCCACCTCGTTCTTTTGGTGGAAGGCACTCAGGAGGCCAGGAGAGACACTCTCCCCATCGGGTCCCCCCCCCCAAAGCTCTTCCTTTTGTTCTGGGGACAGGGTAAGGGAGGGGGCAGGAGGCATCATTCTGGAGAAGCAGGTAAGATGTGAATAACTTGTCACTGGGTTCCTATTTTCTGATTGTAAGCCATGGGTCTGATTCTGCCAGTGAGAGGATGCCATTAACTTTCAGCTCTCCAAGCATCATCCACTCCCACCTCCACACATAGGCTACAGGGAGCCCTAGAGACACAGAGAAGGCAACCCATTTCTGGGAAGTGAGAAAAGAGAAGGGACCGTTCTCTTGCTTGGAAGATCAGACCCGTTTTGCATATAAGTTTTCAGGAGCCAACCCATTTCAACATTATATCACCAGTCTGAGCAATAAAGAAGGCTATTCACATTGTCTCAGGAGAAAATTAAGGTCAGGTTTTTCCTTTTCTGCAGTCATGGCTTGTGAAAGCACGCCAAGTCAGGGTCTCTCACCATGGGCGGATGAGCTCAGCAAAGGGAGATTTCTGCAAGCCACAAAATTACACAAGAAATCTGCATTAGGCTAGTCCCTGTGACAGGCACCAGCCCACATGAGAATCCTAAAAACTTTTCCATGAAACACTCGCCTCTTGGTGTCCTATATTGCCCTATGCCCATAAATAATAAAAAGGCTGATAACATTGCTTTATGTAAGCAGGCTTAGAAATCACTCTCAGATAAGTGCTTTTGACCTAAATCTTGTAGCGCCTCATCCTGACATCTAACCTCACAACTGTGAAATTCTGTATGAGATTTAACAGTCTCAAACTGTCAACTGACCCAGCCATAAAGCAAGCAGAGATAAAGATTTACAGTCCAACATGATACAATTAGACATTCACCTTCTATTTATTTCAGCGCAGCTAAGCGTTTAACCTACTTAAAAGCCGAAGGTTTTCATTAGAACACAAATGCATTTTGTCATTCATTCTAAGCCGCCTCCTCTTGCATCTTACAAATTAGTCCATTATGAATGAAAAAGATTAGTTTGTTTCAGAGAAAGGGGTAAACAGGCATGGTTTCTGTAAAATCCTCCCAGACATGCACAGATAAAAGATGGCTTTAGCACACAAAATAATCAGATACAAATAGCTGTGTGGAAGCAACTCACCTAAAGAGTACTTTAATCAAATATTTAGGTTACCTGCCAAAAAGACCATGATCTCTTCAAAAATGCAATGCGGATTAAAGTGTTATCTAGCACAAGCAGAAAACTAACCTTGGAGTGGAAGTTTGAAATGTGTTCATCATAATTTTCACGTCTTTGGAGAGAGAACCCGGCTTTTTCAGCTAGATTGCAAAACTGGTTGAATGTATTCCCTCGGCGTGGGGCAAATACCATTGCTTTCCCCTAGAACATTAAAAAAAAAAGAAAAAATTCACCCAGTTTAAAATTGGAAGGCAACCAAACACAGCAGACATGCAGTCAAAGCATTCATCTCCTCTAAGGTACAGAAACTTAACTGTTCTGGAGACATTTAAGCAGGAAAGACACTCACAGGGAGAATCATTCAAGGGCAGATCAAGAAAAGAATATCTCATACTCAAATGGCCGTGCTATATTGTATTATTTCCAAATAATGCATATGTAATAAACAAAATGTGGTTGGGAGCTGCCATTCTAGACAATGTATGACATGGATATTAGAGTCTGGGGTGGCTCCCATCGCCCATGACTCCTTCATACCTCCCAACACAGTTCCAGAGCACATGGTAACCGACGTCTCTACAGTTGGTTGATTACACCCTGAAGATTAGGTGCTGAGCTACTCATCGAGTGGTGGCCACAATACATGCTGGAGCGGTCTTAAGTTTCAGCCCTGTCCCTGGCCTTTTCTGTGACTTTCCTGGTCTGGGACAAGGTTCCAAAATTTAGGTTCCCATCTTCAGTGAGTCCCTCAGAAAGGTCCACTCTAACAGGGCGACTCTACAACAATCAAATGAAAGTGGTACCACGTACGTAGTAGGCAGGCATTTCTAAACAGCCACACAATCTGGGCCCTAGGAGGACCTGAGTAAAATGTCCAGTGGACTTCAGAAGGCCGTGTGACAAGACATTCCACAGTGACCCTTTACTAATAACTGGGTGCGTGTGGACTCTCTCTTGCCCTGACATGTATACAGAATGACCAGGTTTCCCAATCTTATTTTTCTCCCCATTAAACAAAAACAGATACCTATATGCTTCTGTTAATTCCATGCTTATAGCTGTCATCGAATTGCCACCCCAGGCTCTGAGGGAATGAGATACATTCCAGTTCCTTTTGTTGTTGTTTGCTTGTGGCAGGGTCTTGTTATGTAGCCCAGGCTAGCCCCGAATTTGTGTCCCTCCTGCCTCTCTACTTTCTGAGGTCTGCAGTTGCAGGCATGAGTTACCATGCCTAACTTATTCTGGTTTATTATGACAGAAAGTTTTCACTCATACCTACCAGACATTTATTGGTACGGTAGTGTGTCAGACAATGGGCTCATCATCTACACAGACATCATCTCTAGTCTCCAACCTGTAAAAGTATCCTCAGGTCCATTTTACAGGGATGCTCAGAAAGTTGGATAACTGGCCAAGAGGACACACACAACCCAGATTTGATTAGAAGCTCATCATCCTGACTTCAGCATGGGTGCCCTTTCTCTCTATTTCTCTGTCTCCCTATTAGCCACGGCGACACCGATGACCCCTACCACTGAGCTGGCTGCTTCGCAAACGCTCTTTAGTCCCTTCGACGCTGTTCTCCACTACCTTGTAGATTAGACATTGCACTTTACAGAGGAGTAAACCAACAGGGGAAGGTTTGAAAAACAGTAGGAACCATGGGGTGGAAAGAATCCCGGACTTAAACACCGATCCTCGCCATCAAACAGCTGCGGCATCTTAGGACGACCAGAACCACACCATCCAACCAAGAGCTGGAAGGGATGTTGAAGATGGTGTCGTCTGATCCCCTGATTCTGCACACAAGAACCTGCAGCCTCCTCCCCCAACTCAGCTGACCTGCTGAGTTTACTCGTCCATCTAATGGGAAGAACCAAGCCGCATGGCTTTGTTTGTTTATTTGTTTGTTTTCCTTCCAGCAAGCTGTGAGGCTCAAATGGAGTGAATGTAAAAAATGATTTGAAAAAGCAAGGTGATTGATACGTAAGATCAGGAAAAATCTGTATTACTCAACGGTGCTACAAGAATCCTCACCCCCACCCCGTTCACCTGTAAGAGAATACACCGATACATTGCTCTGGGCGCAAGTGTGTTTCACACTGTGTTTACACAGACATACATACACACACACAGGCACATAATTACAGTGGTACCAATCACGTCACTATACTTAAGGTTCTGTCAGCTTTTCCAATATTAATTGCTATTTTCAGGCAGTTTTCAAACTTAGCAGCAAAAATTCATTTTTATGTGAAACGAGATATAATACACGGTCTCAGCGGGAGAACATGAGTCTTCTTCTTCTTCTTTTTTTTTTAAGAAAAAAAAGGAGGAAATATCAGTAGGTCATTTCAGTCATTTCAAAGGACTGGTTGCCATTCTGGAGTTTTGAATAATGGAAGTTGTTTGCACCTGCAAAGATTGCCACACAGTTACAATTGAGGAGTTGATTCTTTACAGCTATTATCTAAGCTATATATCATAGTGTTTCAGGGTGACAGGATTCTTGGTTGGGCTGATGTTGGCATTCACAAAGTGCATACTTCCCACATCCCACTCACTAGTGGGCTGGGAGTGGGTGGTTAGGCTAAGAAGCGTTCGTTCCTCTGCTTAGGGCTCAGTTTACCGTCTGTCACTAACAAATATATCCAGAATAGTAGCAAGCACGCCCCCTTCCCCTCGAAAGCCGCTCCACTACTGTTACAGCCCCCGGTTGGTTCTCAGTACTTATCATCACAGACACACGCTACATCCTTGTTTGCTATTGCCTGGCTCCTCTGGCTGGATTGCACACTCCATGACAACAGGGTCTTCCAATCCAGTGCTCTATGCACCGCACTACCTCCCTGCCTAGCAGATAGTAGGCACTCAGTCAATATTTGTGGAGAGAATAAACTAAATCCAGGTGCTGAATAATCCAAAAAAACACCGGTCTTGGAGAATTTGAAAGCCACATTCTATTGCTTATTCTTTTGAAGAGATTTTCTGCAAGGGGCTTTTACAGAAGCCAGCTCTAGGGAGGGATTGCAGAGGGCACCCATCTGCCAACCCAGCACTCCCCGCAAGAGCAGGAGGGAGTAGCAGTGTTGGTACAGAATTAGTTATGAGCTTTAAACTGTTTTTTGTTTTGTTGAATATTGATATTTTGAGACGTGGATTAACGTTTTGGAGGGTGATAGTACACCACCCGTCCATTCAAAGACAGATCCAGAGCCCCATCGGGTTGCCAGTCTCTGCCCCATGCCGTAATGGGTGGTTTTCAAGGCACCCTGCCTTCCAGTGTCCCCAGAGGAGCAGAGCATGTCTGTGGAGGAGTACAACAACAGCCTTACAATTTAGGCTGAAAAACAAACAAACAAAAAAAACCAAGAAAAACAATATAGATTTCAAATTAGCCCATTACCTTAGGAAAATTATTTTCAATTTACCAAAGTGCAACTTTCTAAGCATTCAGCCACAGAGTCATTTTTAAAACTCAGAATGAACACTCAATTGAATGTAAAATTGGGCTGATGGGCAGAAATCCGAGGGAATTCACTTATCCCTGGAGAGACGGGGAGAGAAGTTCCATTCAGCAACCAAGCCACTGTTTACAGTGTGAGCAGCGCTGTTGTTCCTTTGCTAGGCTGCTCCATACTCAGGTATTAAAGGGTCATACTTGTGGGAAAATAAGGGTGCTTCAGCTTTATTTAGGAAAGAAATGTGCCATGCCGCTCAAATGCCTTCGCCTCCTCCCTCTTCCAGGCAACCAATTATTAAATACCGATTACATGTTCAAGCTTATGCTTATTTTTGGTTTGTTTACCTGGTTTCTGAGATGTAGCCTTCACCCACTTCTTCTCTGGCCTCTCTCTCATCTCCCTCTCTCTCTCTCCTCCCCCTTTCCCGGCTTCTCCTCTCCCACTAGCTCTTTGTCAGAGGCTCCCCGGCTTCTGTCTACTGTTTCTTCGCGTTCTGTATAATTCTAGGCAATTGTGCCAAAGTCCACAGCTTCAACTATCACTTAAGTGTCAATAATTTCCGAGTACGTAAGTGTGGCATTCCCCTTTGCGAAGGGTCCACGCCCATCGTTCCGGGTGCCTACTCATCTCAGCATGTGGGTATTCTGAAAATATCCTTAACCCATTCTGTCTGAAGGGGAACGTAACCCTGGGCTCCAAACCTGACCATCCTCACAGCACTAGCCATCACAGCCCACCCTCTCACATACATGTCCAGACACACAGAGCCGAGGACCTGTGTGGTGTGGTTTGTTCCCAAACTCGTTCCCAGCTGGAAACCTGGGAGCCAGAGCATCGCCACTGGTTTCTTTTCTTTTCTCCTTTTCTTCCACTTTCCCTCTCTTCTCTTCTCTTCTCCCTTTTCTTCACAGGGTCTCACACAGCTCATGTTGGTTTCAAGCCCCACCTCATCTCCCCTTGTGTTCACTTTCCAGAGGCCTGTGCCACCACACCTGGTAAGGCACTGTCTTTCAAGACCTCAAAGCCCTGTCCCCCGACCTTCAAGTGTGTTCTGAACTGCTTGAGGGGGTCCTGAAGGGATAAAAGGAGGCCAGGGCTGGGAGCACAGTGCTTTCCATCCTAGCTTACCCTTGGTTGTTTCATGGTGGTGCTCGCTCTGGAACCCAGGGCTTTGTGAATGGCCTGTGCTCTAGCACTGAGCTACACCTGACCTTACTTTCGTCTCTTTAAGTGAGATGCCGGCCAGACAGTTTGACCGAAAAGTCTCTCCAATTAAACAGGGTTGGGAAACGCCCGAGATGGGTCCTGACTTCTTGGGATGGCAGACAAAGCCCCCATATGACCTGACTCACACCATATCTACAAGCATCTCTGGCCCTCCCCTGCTCGCCTGGCGCTCTAGTCAAACTGAACTAATTACAGCTGATGTGTTCTTTCACGCATCCCCTTGCCTTTAAACTTGCAGACACTCCCCCGGGCTACAGTGCCTCTCCTACCTCACTTTTTCCGTCTCCCTGGTAAACTCTTCCTCATCCCTCAGCACCCAGGTCAGACACCGTTGATACCTTTTCTGACGTTCTCTGTCCCTCCCCAAGCGGTCATTTCCACCCCCTGCCTCCGTGGGTCGCCACGGCTTTGCTCTCTTCACACACCCTCTTGCAGCAGCTTGCTTCCTTGGGGTAGGGTTATATCGTTTCTTACTCCATCCTCTGCTCCCAGCTCCATGCTGAACGTCCA